AAAGCTTACAAAGTCCTGTATAAGGAAGGTAGCCTTTGCTACCTCAGCCCCAAAACCCCAAAACCCCATGAAATTATATTTTTGAGAATTATCATGAAATTAAGAATAAAATAATGTTTCAAAGTCCAGTTTTAAATTCCTTTTCCCTTCATGTATTAAGATCACTCTTTTGTTTCAAGAATTTTACTAGAGGATTGATCAATAAAGGAGTCTCTGTTTTAGACTTTTTCTCCTCTTCATCTTTTATTAGCATCATTTTCTAGGTCTTTTAAAATTGTGTTTCCAAAAATTCTTTGATTTTGTTTCCTTATCTTTTAATGATTGTTTTTACTCTTTTCCTTCCTTCCATTAGCTGAATCTATGATGAAATTTTGAAAAGTTACGAATTGATCTCAATCATTTTGTTGTCTTATTGCTTTACTAAGTCTGAAAGTTATTGATTCTGAATTCTGAGACTTTTAAAATTATCAGTCGTCTTTTCATGTTCTGCTTCCAATTATTTACTAAATGATGATTTGAGAGCATTAATCTTTCCTTCCCAATCATCGTCACTTTAGTTTGTAATTTTATCAATATTTGCTACAATGATATATCTGCTGTTAGCAAAGAGTCTATCTCTATTAAAAATGAACTCATTTTCATAAATCAACCTGCATTTAGCTCTAAATCTTTCTTCTTTCTGGATCATCATCACAGTATCATAGGTGTCTCCCATTATAGCTATCAGTAAGTTTAGGAAAACAATAGTTATTATGAATGAAGAAATATAAAATAAGAACCACAAAATCCAAGAGTTTTAACCAAGTGAATCAAAGTTATCAGTAGAGAAATTACCAAGAGCCCCAGCATATGTATATAAAAAAGACATGATAAAATTTCCAACTAAAGGAGTTACATCTTCATTTGGCTCTTACAGTCCTTGAACCACATAAAAGCAATTGGCAAAGCAAAGTATTGAAATCAAAAAAATTGCTGAGAAAACTAGCATCTCCTACACAATATAATATACCATAGTAATGAGAACTGCAGTTGAGTCAAATACTCTTAAATGGAAAAATAACTACTGATAAGCTTAAATAATGACAAATACTGCAAATATCCTAAATGTGGTTTCTGATACATTTAGGTATTTCATTATTACAAGTATAGCAACTGAAGAATGAAATGCCCAATCAAGGAGATTTGAAAAGTTAACATTTTTCTTGACAATTTTAAAAATTTCTAAAAGAATAAAGTAAAAAGCTAGAGCAAGGATTAGTGCACCAATTACATCATGAGATATATCCCATCTTTCAGAATATCGATCATTTAAATTCTCGTTTACATTAGATACATAGTTTACACTTGAGAATATCAACAGGAGTATAAAATAGAGAGCAAAAGGAGTCAACTTGTACTGAATGTAAGATTTCTTAAAGTATCTCCACTAGAATATAATGATGTCTTAGATTGTTTGTACAGTAAAGATCTTTGAGCCTTCTTCAACATCTGTTAGATAAGCAATAAATGATAAAGCACTTGGTCCCTTAAAGATCCAAGGAAACTCTATGGCAGTAAAAATCACAGTTTATGGATCTTTATTGCGTTTAGACTCGCACTTATCAAAAATATTGATAGCTTTATCGTATTCAAAGCCTTCATCTGGATTAGTACCACAGTCAACCTTATTAAGCATTTAAAGATCCTGTGTTTTCATCATTGTCCTAAGATTATAGCTATCAGATATAATTTCTTGGTATAAATTGTATATTTCACTTTTAGTTACCTGGAACTACTTTTCCAAAAATCTGTCATCAATATAAGAGGAATGGTGACTAATTTATCTTTCACTATTTGAAAAGTTCCATTAACATTTAAAGAATCTGTTAATTTTGAAAGTGCATATCTCTAGAAAGTTGTGGAATGACTGACTTTTCATTTCAAGTAATTTAAAGAAGTGTCTCTACATGTATCAAGAGTAATTATATTTAGGTTTCGAAGCTAGCATATCTAAAATTAGCTCAATACATCTTGGAGTGTGATCATGAATAGCAAAATCTAAAGGAGTATCACCCGTATTATTTGGATAAACAGCCAAGAAAAAAAATTGTTCTGTCTCCTTGTAATCTAACTCATTTATTAGGTATTCAACATCCTTGATGAAAATTTGGAGAAATTCTTCATTGGTTGCCATAAGATGCAGTATATTATTTCCATTAGGCAATCTGAATTTTAAGAACCTTAAGAGCAAATATTTTAGGTCATTTCCATCATCTTTAATTTTTTAAGAGTTTAAAGTTGTCATTAAATATTCTAGATACTACAAGTCAAGATAGGAGTAAGTCAGCTACAGAGTTGCAAATTACTATTTACTTATTCCAAGCATTTTAGTGTTAAAAGATCCAAATTTCAATTCATTCATTTAAGGCTATTTATCTGATCTAATCCTAAATTAGGAGGTTCTCTTATTAATAAAAGTTTAAGTCTTTGTTTTTTCATCTAAATGTTTCATTTGTAACTTTAAGCAAGCACTCAAGCCATTAAAGTAATTGAGAGGGAAATTGAATCTTAAGTCATAAATGCATGATTCCTTGCTAGGAACATAATAATTTAATCTTTCTGAATTACCTTTAATAAGCTAAACTTGCTAAGGCTTTTAAATATTAACTGGAAATTCAATCATACTATGCTCAGTATTAGTTTCTAAATCCCAAGTGACAATAAAGGTATATTTAGTTGGGCAATACTGAACATAAGCAAACTAAAGTAAATCTATCTTTTATGTTTGTAAAATCTAAGTAATTACTCCAGATCTTAATTCTAAATTTATCTTTCTTATTTAATTAGGCTGTTTATCTGCTGAGACAAAGTTATAGAAGTAGATATCAGTTCCAGCTTTAAGAATTAAATATTTGTGATGAATCAGTTCGAAATCATATCTCAATTATGGGGCTTCTAAAATTGGTTTGAGATCATATTGTTCTTTAATTTCCTCAAGGCTAACATTTTTATATTCCTAGTCTCGATCTTGGGCTGTTTGTAGATTGCTATCTATTTAATTATTACCGAAGAGAATATCTGAGAATTTTTCCTCTAGCATCTAACATCTTTATTCATCTATCAAGATTTTAATTTATGGCTACATATGTTGATCACTTGCGACCGAAATCTCAAATTCAGGTTCAATTAAAACTTAAAATATCTATCCTCTTACATCTTATTTCCCTTCAAAAAAATAGTCCCTAAAACCAGTTGGCTTTAGACATTGAATATCTTTGATCCTTCTAAAGTGATATAATGAAGAGTCAATTAGCAGGTTAAATAAATAAAACCTCTTATGATCAGTAAAAAGAAAAGTCAACCCATCATCATTTTTCTATGTTTTGCTTACTCTTATCATTTCTAATTAAGGATTTTTTAACGTTTCATCGTCAGCAGGGGATATGATGGTTTTCAATGGATTTCCATAAGGATCAAAAGTATAAAACTACTTTCCAATTTGAATAAAAATATCGTCATTAGAGGTAAATGTACTAAACTTTACTTGCTCAACTAAATAGTTATCTTTATGTAGAATTTGTAATGTTTTGTGAGCCAGAAACGGAATACATAAAATTTCAAATTTAATCCTATAGTCATCATCAGGATAAACATTCGATTCCTATTTTGGAAGTTTAATCTGTACATTACTTTTCTTCTTTTCGTGAATTATTATTTGTCTAATGTCTAAATATTCCAAAGGATCATTTTCATCAAACTTATCAACAAATTTTTGAGTTTGACTTTCTCGAATATTTTACTATGCATTTAAACCAACGGTTTTATGATTTTATTATATTGTCTTATGCCTTTATTAGAATTTCGAATTAAATTTGGTAAAATCTACACTTTCTCTTTTAGATTTTCTGATTAATGATTTTTTAAGTGTTGACTATTCACCAGAGGGAGATGTAGCATTTTTATCGAGTTAAGCACTTAAGAAAAGGATCATCGAATCATCTTAGCTAATTATTGGACCCAAGTAAAGGTTTGATGAGTGTAGCTTGTCAATATTTTTTTGTCTGAACTATTCGAATTAAAAGTTTGAATCTTTAGCTTGATTTTGATTAAAGTAGCTCTAATAAAACTGTGGACCAATATATGCTTCTGCATCAGACATGACTATATGTTAGGGATCATAATTATAGAATTGTAAAATTGTTTAAGCCTCTTCACTCAATTCAGAGTCTTTAAACATTCTTAATTTTCCTGTTCTACAAGAGTATTTATACCTTTTTATATGTAAATTTTAATCCAATGTTAATAAGAAATCCTCAAATCTCTGAATGCTTTTTACTGAAGATGATTTCAAATCAAAGACAGATTCAAGCTTTGGCAGTTAATTTGGTTATAGAGTCATTAAATTTATATTTTACTAATTGTTATTATCTTGTGTTAGCACAAACATTTGCACTAGCTCATAGGAGTCCTTTATCTATCCATTTTACTGTATCATAGGAACACTTGATCCTGTGGTAAACTAATCGTGAAACATATTGGAATTCAAAGGTCTTATTAGAATCTCATTATCATATTAAAGGATTAGTATCAAAATATCTTAGGATTTGCCTGGACTATTCAAGTTGCATAAAACCACTTTAATAAGTTTATCTCTATTAACTATTCACAAAAATTAAATTATAAATAAAATCATAGTATACTTACTCTAAGTGAAATCAATTGAGAATTCTGATTTTAATCTTGACAGATGAAAGTTTTTTTTACAGTCACCTAGGGATGACTTGCATTCTTAGTAAACAGGTAGTTTAATAAAATTCAATCTAACTTTGCAATTTTCATTTATTGTAAGGAAGAAACATGCCTGGCATCTGTAGATTTTCTACCCGTTTATAGTTACTGAACCTTGATAGAGTTCGACAAAAGCTAAGAAATCTAGATTAGAAAATAAAAACTTATTTAGTTTACGCTCATCAAGTTTAAACTCACTATGCCACATCTGGTCGTACATTGACTAAAAAATAAGATAATTGCTATTCTTCGAAAAAACAATGAAGGGATTTATAAATTGGCATTTGAATTTTTCTAAAAGGGAAGGTTAATTTAAATAAATAATAATTTTACCTATTCTATACTTTAATATTTCTTCTTCATCATAAATATTAAAATACAAATGCGTAACTAAATCTGAGACATGATGAAATCCTGTTGTCAAAAGCCTGCTAAATTAATCAACGATAATATCAAAACAGTTGTAATTAGAAAGTTCAATTTCACCATTTACTTTCTTTTAAGGCAATATATTTATTTCAATAACTTTTTTTGGAAAAATCTCTTAACCTTTGCTAATAATATCTGAGGCTTTGATTGCAACTGTAGTCTATTATTACTCATTAAATAATAGAACAGTGATATCCTCTATTAGTTACATATTTTTGGAAATTTATGGCTCACGAAATGTCCAGATTGATGAGGGGTCAGAATATTAATGCTGTTTATTTTATTTTATGTTCATATTTTCTATTGACTACTCTTCAGCAATAGAATCATCGCGATTGTTAAATTTTTCAAAATAATTTTCTTATCTCTTTATTTATTATTCTCCCTCATAAAACTCTAGAAACAAAAGTGCTTTTCTAGTTTCTTATTCATTTACGTTATTAGTACTTGCTCCATCATCATTTGAAAAATGATCTGCTACTATTAATATTTACTAAGAATTTTTTGTAGAAAAAGCTTCAATAATCTAGGAGCCTAAATCATCGTGACTAATTGTTTGCTCATAATATGTTTCATCAGTAAATGTCAGAGCTCCAGTAATAGCTATCTTTGATCTTGCACTATCAAAAGTTAGCTTATATATTTTGATTGATGAATTGTAGGGATCTTGAATATGATTTTTCTTCACTACTAGAGTCATTTTTTTCAGATCCCCATTTTTCTTAAGCATTGGGGCTCTTAGCAATGGCTAAATATCTTTCTACTAAATAGTGTCGAAAAAAAACCCCACAATTTCATATTGTCTTGAAATTATATCTTGTTCTATTGGAATACTTAAAACTAGACTAAAGCTTGTATAAAAGTTAGCGAATCCATTGTGTTATAGATAGAGGTGATATTAGGAAGAGAAACTAAATATTTCAGTGGTCATTCTACTTGTTTATCTGGCATAATCTAAATTAAGTGAGTCTTTATGCCCCCATATAAGTGATGGGTAGTCAGAGATATCTTCACTCTTTATTTAGAATTGAGTCAGATCAAATTCATTTTGCTCAGGCATAGATAAATCTAGTGAGTTGAGTATTACTAGCTTTTCAATAATACCATTTAAATTTTCGACAAGGAAAAATACATAGTGACCATCATGGCTGTAGAATAATGCATTATCAAATATAGAAAATTGGTTTTTTGAAGTAATTTCCACATTGGTAAACATTATTGGAAGTTTTCCCTAGTTAAGTCTCCAAAGAGAAATCAAATAAACTGATTACTTTTCTTCCATGTTAATAATGGTCTTCTTCAAAGTTACTTAACTTTCCAATAATTGATTTGGAGTGCTATCGTCATTTTTAGAGGTCTAGAGCACATTACTAATCTGCTTGCTGTTTAAAATCTACATTCTCTTGTATTAATTCTTAAGACTTTCTCTAAATTCTAATCTCTTCTTGCTTACTTTTGACAAAACTTGATCAACCTCTTTGGGCTTAAATTTCATAAACTAATGCTGATAGGATAACTTAGTATTACTCACATAGTTCATTCGTTCATGATGATTGTCTAGTTCTTCCATTTCTTCCAGAAAATCTATCTTCTTTTCCCTATTTATGCTAGGATCGAGTGCACTATCGTTAAATGATGACAATTCTGATTCATCCTCCTTATGAGAGGTTCTTCTCATCATCTAATTCTAGTTAGTTCCCATAAACGACATTTCCTTAGTTTATTTCTCTGGCTATACTTCATCATGATCTGAAAGAAAAGATTCGTTGTCTTTATGATCAGTTTCATCCAACTTCAAGTCGTAAACCTTTTAATCCTAAGGATAAAACTACTGCTCAAGCATTAAAATCAAGTCTTCTTTGTGTGGTGAAGGTTAGTGGAAACAAGTAAATAAGATGTATTGACTTTGTGACTCTAGTCTCTTCGAATAGTCTTGGAGAAACTATTCCTAAAGCTTATGAAAATGTTTTGGATCATTCATTTTATTTATTGGAATTTTAGGATGCTAAATTAGAATGTGTTAAATCAAGTTCGCAGTTATATTATTTACAAATATAAAATTACTCATCTTTCTTAATGCTTTGATAAATTCTATTTACTACTGATTGATGGTATTAACTAGTTGAGGGGTTTTGGGGTTTTGGGG